AGAAAGGCCTAACAGCTCTGTAACCTGGGCACGGGAAACACACCAACACAGGGCAGCATGCCCAGCAAAGGGGCTCCTACAGGGCCTTCCCACTTCTGCCCTGACGTAAGGTGACATCTCACAGGAACATCACTGACACCGCATCGCGGAGATTCAGCACATTGCACGACAGCAGCAAGTGGAAAAGGTCTCCAGATGTATTACAGTTTAACGGAGTCGTCTGTGCAGGAGCAACGATGAGATGTGGATTTCTGCCGAGCGTGGAGGAGTGAGGGGGGTCAGAAACACCTGTGGTTCCTTTGAAATTTTGGGTGCACAGGAATATTCAGCTCTAGTCGTGTCTATTCAGAAGAGAAGTTAAGAAGTGGTGAGGAGGCGCAGCTGTGCTTAGAGGCTTAGGAGTAGCAGTATGTCCGCAAATTAAATATTAATCTCAAGGGCTTCCTTGTGATAGTACCAGTAAGATGTGTTTAGAGAAATTAAGATGAGAGCTGTGTCCTGTGGGCTGCAGCTCTCTGTCTTATGCACAGAGGTTAATGAGTGGGAGGCTTAGATCTCAGGATTGCAGTAACTTCTGTGCTTCGAGTAGCAGTATCTGTTCAAGCTCAGATATTCTCTCTCTCCCTTTTTATGTAGCTGTTGGTGAAACACACTTTAAAACTCTTATGGTGAAAACGGAGAGATGCTCAAAGTTAGCTTCAGTCCTCTGTGATCATCCTGGGAAGGCTGCTGCTCATCAGTATGCAAGGAAATGTCCTTGGATTTCTTTCCTCATATAAGACATGACACTCAAATACTAGGATAGAATGTATGTGGAATGGAGTGACCTCATTTTATGGAACATAACTTCATCTCCTATCCCTATATATGTTAGATTTGGTTTTATAAAAAGAGATTGGTACTTATATAAGTGACAGGAGCAGGTACAGTTGCACTAGAGAGATGAGGGAAGCCAGAGCCGACAAGGGTCAGGTAGGCTCTGCCCTGCACGCCACAGCTCTGCGCAGTCACACCAGCTGCATTACAGATACTGGCTTCTTTCTCCTGAAGGCTTCGAGTCCCTGCCGCACGTCGCGTTGCTGACTGAGGCACACTGGGGGTTTCCTTCATCGCTGCTCAGGTGCTGGGACAGAACTAGGCCCAGACAGCTCTGCAGGTGGAAGAGGCCCCGGCTTCTACAGGTTTCTCCTTGTCCTAGAAAACAAGACACCAATACTGCAAGAGTGAGGATGGGGCTGCTTTGGGAATGCAGTTTGGGGCTCTAGGAATGTAAGGACAGAACCCCTCCCTTTATTTGGTAGAGGAACTAAAGAATATAGGGCTCTACGTCTGTAATGTGACACGGGCATGGCTGGCCACGCTCCAGCCAGCACCAAACTGAGAGCTGCCAAGAGCCCCATCAAAGCACGGAGCTGAAGCGAGTGGAACACAGGAGTTAGTTCTGCCCCTGCAGTGTGTGCACTGTGATTCTGGGCACCAGCTGCACCTTGTGACAGACAGGCTGGCTCAGAGCTAAACTGCCAGACTGCTCTGCCAGACTCCTGAGCAGTGACAGCAGCAGACCTGTCCTGTTCTCCTGCAATATTCCTGCGTTTCTACACTGGCCCTGCCGTCCCAGGCTTCCTTCAAGTAGGACCAACTGGACCAAAAGTCTGGCGCCAAGCTCAGAATGATATTTTGCTGCCTCTGTAGTCTTCATAGCCTGGCAATCTTTGTTCAGGTCTCTCAATCAGGTGGAAAACACTAACCATTGCCTTTGTATTTTTGCTTCTGAAAGAGGTCTGGCAGCAGGAAGAAGGTCCCTAACACTCACGTATGGACTAGCTCACCCTCTGCCCCAGCTGCGGTGTTACAGACCTTGGACAAACCTCCATGGACGTGGGCTGAACTGGCGTGTTTGTGACAAACAGAGGTGACAGTGACATGAATTAGTACCAGAAGCCCTTCTAAACTTCCCCAGGACTGGCCAAAGGAGTGTGTGTGTACCATGTCCCATACATACCTGCTATCGCAGATGGTGTAGAGATGAAGAACAGCCAGCAGGAGGAGGAGGACCAGGAGACTAGCAAGGCTGACGAAACAGTGAAGAAACCATGTATTATTGCCTAAAGAGAAACAGTTGCTCTTTAAGGTGTATCTCACAGACCGTTTATTTGCCCTGTGCCTCTCTCAGGATAGCATCTTCTGGACAATGCTCTCTTTGTGCTCCACTTTGGGGCATGACCAAATGCTGGAATACAGCACCAGGCACAGAACTGGGAATAAAAGACTTCCCTCCGTGCCCTTGATGGAGGACCCTTGTCTTTTGCTGGACAAGCACCAATTAGATCCTCCTCCCCACCCACTCCCAGAGTCCAGCTGCTGACCTTGCATGTGCATCCCAGCACATTTCAGCCCTGATTCTCTCCCAACCAAGTACTTCAGCAAAGTACACGTGGTTGCATGCAATCCTCCAGCAGCATCTTCAACTTCACCACCTAAAGCCTTCACCTACCAGCTAGTCTTGGAAGCTGCTAGGTGGCTCTCAGTCTTCCTGTCACAACCTATATGTAACCAAATAATTAGCAAGACATAATGGTACCGATGGATTGCAATATAGAGATTTAGATGATCATACCATTGACATCTTTGTGTGTCATGAACTTCTGGATAATCCTGCCTTTCCATTCCGCCCTAATGGTGGGAGGGGAAAAGGAAGACCGCTACATTCATCTGCTTTCCTAGAATTTCACAAAGGACTTGACATTCCTGACAGCACGTTTGTTTATCTTTCCGCCTCCTGACAAATTTCTCACTAGAAACTTCAGCTCAGCTGCATGGCTCCTGCTGAAATCCTACCAGGACTGGTGTTTGTCTTAGTGAATGAAGAGAGGGCTAGATGGGGTTTTGAACACTGAATGCACAAAGAAGAGCTTACGTGGAGGACAGGCTATGGACGCACTCCAGTTCCCAGCTGGGTGGGACACAATGCAGGTTGCATTAGTCACTTTGGTGCTGTGTGCTGTGAACTTGCTGAAAACAGTCACTGTCCCATCGTCATGGCCTTCTTCATTGGGGGTGGAGTTGCTCTCTTGGACCCACGAGATCTGGGCAGCCGGTTTCCCTGCCGCTGCTTGGCACACGGGGTTCCCTTGGTCATCACAGGACAGGGTTGGCTTGGGAGGGACTGCAAAGCATCAGGAAGGGGAGATACACGGAGTTAGTTTGCCTCAGTTAGGACAGGACATTCTGGTTCTCTACCCAAAATGAACGGAGTACAAAGAGAGAATAAGGCACATCCCATTACAGTGACATGGGCCAAAGTCACAAGAGACAAAGATAGTGCCTCTTTTTTCCTTCTGGACAACTCTCCCCCGTTCAGGTGAGTTACCACAGCCAGGTATCATTAGAGGAGGTAGGGAATTATGGCAAATGCAGGGCTGAATTAGACTTTTGTCCTAAGCAGCCATTGTACACATGGTTTAAAATGTATCTGAATGCCAGCATAAGAGGAAATGGGTCCATTCTTACTGCCTGGAAGAGGACATCCCATGTTCAGTACAATATCTCAGCACTTGGAAGTGTTAGTTTCACATGCTTTAGTTCTCTTAAATGGGTGTATTAATGATACAGGAGCATATGCAGAATACCCTTTTAGTATATTGGATTAGCATGTCCCCTAGTGCATGGGGAGAGGAGCTTTGTCTCTCCAGGCCCAGACACAGTCCTGGGGAGAACTGTGAAATGAGGAAGGAGTCCCTTACCCAGCACAGTCAGGTGGTATGTCTTGTGGAAATTCCCTTCTGGTGCTACTACTTCACAGGTGTAATTTCCCTCATGGGCTATTTTCACTTGCCGTATCTCGAGGGTAGGATCCCGATCTGGTCTGAATTTCCAGTTTATGCTGTCACTGCAGTTTGTTCTGTCTGTCTTGTTCTGATCAGCCTTGTATCCCAGGGCACAGGGCCCTCCAACCTTGGGACTTATCTTCCATGATACCATAGTTGTATTTGATTTCTGAGGGCAAGTGAACACGGAGCTGTTACCTACTGTTGCTGACACTCTGTCGTTCCCTGAAGGAGAGAAAGAAGGAGAAAGAGGTGTGAGAAGGATCCCAGGGATGTCACTCATAACTTTCAAGTTCTGTCTGTGCTTCACAGAGAAATGCCTGCACTGTTACACGCCAGTGTGAGACCCTCTCAGGACCAGCCCAAGGGCTGCCCCTCTCTTCTTAGGTGGGAATCGATCACCAAATTCATGGTTGCGTTCTCATACATTTGTCCTTGTTTTCACTCCCTCCTTCTATAAGCTCCTCTCCCTTGGACAGTGGTTTAATAATGACTAGAAAGCAGAGTTGGAATGAGCTGCAGAGCCCATCTCTTTGGGGAGATCTCTCAGGTTGCTTTTCCCTCAGCATCACTGCCCAGTACAGCAGGAAAACGAATGTTTTGAGACATTCACCCCACTTTTGTGCTTGATATAACCAGCCCCCCTAATCAGGTCAAGGACAGGTGGCAATTTCTGCCTTGCCACTCCAAAGCCTATATGAACCAGTTTCCCTGATTATAGCAGTGACAGATGACATAGTGCAGAAGTAAGATATTTAACTGGAAAAAACCCCACATTCCTGTTTGCTGTTAGATGCAGATGTTCCCGACAGACTCAAGATCCCTGCCTTGTGACCTGCCACACCAGTCTTAACAAAAACAAACAAGAAATACAACCAAAATTTTGCATAATCAACGTAGGGTAGGGAAGGGTTATAGCTGTATTTTCAGATCCCACGTTTTTGGAATTAGCTTTTCTAAGTGTTTAACTAAGTTTGTAAAGGGGAAAGAACATTCCCATTAACTACTATCAAAACTTTCGTCTGAATGTAGGGTCATAAAATGCCAGTATACTTCATTTGTCAGGACAAGTCATTGATACCTAAGAGTAAAGCTCCATAGGGTGTTCAGACTGATCGGAAAACCTTCCATCAAACAGGTTTTTAATACATCTGTTAATTATCATCAAAAATATCATAGTCCAAGAAAATAGTGATCTGTTTTCATCAAATCACTGAAAAGCCCAAGTTCAACAACTTACTGGCTGACAAGTGAAAAGATCTAGTTGCAGCTAGAAAAGTTTTGATTTGCAGGTTATTGGATCTGCATCAAAAACTTCCTTCAGCAATTTGTAAAGATCCCTTCCCCTTGCCTTTTTTGTTCTCAGAGAAGAACTGAGCAATCATCACTCCAATACACTGCTGTTTCCTCCTCTCCCCTAACAGAGAGTTGGTACCAAAGGACTGTCACTAGTACCTGTAGCTCCTGTGACCGCAGTGATGGTGAGCAGAACAATGGTATACGTGGTCTTCCTGACAACTTTCAAAGTAGTTCTTGCCTTTGGGCATGATGTGGTTTTCTTGCACCATCCACCTTGCTTTGAGCTTCCCATCACCCCCTGCCAGTGATCCTCAGCAGCCAGAGTCACCGCTCTTCCTCTGCTCCTATGGGCCCTGCAGTGCAGCTACAAAGAGCTGGTTCTTCTTCCTAGCACGGAGCTTCCTCTGCTGAGAAATGGTCAACAGAGAGGAAATGCTCTTGTTTTTTGCTTTCTGACCATTGGCCTTTGGTATAGCGTTACTGTGGGAAGACAAACTCTACAGCAGAACTTGCACGAAGTCTAAGCAGTGTGAGTTTTCATTGGTTCTGATCTCACGAGAATTTTATCATTAAGAACTCTGGAGGAAGGATATTCCTAGCTTACTGCTTAAAGGACGCTCAACATATTCCAAAATATCTCTTAAAAAAATTTCTCTTCCTCTCCACTCTGTCCTTCCCCACATGCCTGACAGCTCAGACCTAATTAGAGAGGGGAGGTAGGAAGGTACACTGTACATTTATATTATATGTAACCCTTTTGCTGATAAAAGTACCTTTATAGACAGTTAGGCCAAGGTTGCTTTTTTTTTTTTTTTTGTTGCACCACTGTTTTGTTTGTCTTTCAAACTGTTCTGGTACTATATTCCCCCCAAGTGAATGCTGAAGGTTATTCCAGTGGTGGACAGGGGGATTCTGTTTAGAGCCGGAAGACTCCCTTATTTTTTACAAGATCTTTAAAGAAATTTCCCCAAGCTACTACCGTCCGTCTTCCCATGTGATTAAGACTGCTCTCTTATACCAGCAAACACAAATTCCCTAGATATAAGATTAACATCCCTGGAAATTAATGGACTGAATTGAATTTTATCAGAAAAATGTTAGCCTCCCCAAACTTTGAAGCCACCAAGCTGAAATGTGTTGGTGACTATTTGCCTGTTCTAAGAAAAGAACTCTAACCCCACAACTATTGTCATGGCAGATTTATCTGTTTCCATGACTGTGCCGGAATGTGCCTGGAAGCTCTTCGGTTCTGTGGTCAAATATATGCAAGACATCCACAAGTGGAAGGAACCACTGGGAGGCAGGGAAACAGTGCCATTTAACTGAGAAGAGGCATAGAACCCATCAGTGACTCAGGAAAAGCTGGGGTAAGTTCAAAAAGAAAGTCAGGCAACCTCTGCTCACAGTCCTTGTATTCAGAGAAGCCAGCAGATGCAATGTAATGAAATCTTCATCTCTGCTGGCTGTTGTTGCTGCAGTTATACTTTCCGAAAGTCACTTTGTCAAACAATTTCAGCTACCTGCACCTTGGCCAATGCAGCTTCCGTGTCAGTGCCGTGTGGTTTGGAGGTTAAGCGCAACAACCCTTTCTCATGTTTAGAGGCTGGTCCAAGATGCAAAGATCACATTTAGATCCCTGCAGTGTGAGACATACTGTAATTTCAGCCACAGAATCTGCGAGTGACATAGCTCAGCACTAAATGCTAAAGGCAGCAAGAGATAATAGTCCAAGTCATAAAAACCAGAAGTTTTCAGGTTTAATTGGGAGCAATGCACCCAGGAACCTGAAAGGATCTCGGGTAATTTTAGAAACTAAGACGGGAAATCTCATGATAAATGGAAAGGGAGAATTCCCTACAGCATGTGATGCAACCTAATCCAGTTATCATTGGGGTGAGGCCCAATATTTTCGGGTTTGGAGTTTCTTTTGCTAAAGATTCTGCTTGCTCTCTAATAGTGAAGATGGTGTCTGAAAATCATGTTCATATTTCTTTAGTTAGCCTTTTGGGCTTGAGTCTTTCCATCTAGCCACAGCACAGCAACTTACTGCATAACTGTGAAGAGTGGAAAGGTTGTATATGGGCAATTTGGCAGGGGGAGGGTTGATGGGGTTTATTTTATTTTTTGGAAGCCCAAAGTCTCAGTCTGACACAAGAGGTGGATCCAGACAGCATGGATGGATCCATGGCGACATTGTGGCAAGAGCACCACTGTTGTGCACCAGGCAGCTTATCCAAACAACTGAGCTGCTGGACCTGGTTGGTCTCCATCCATCTCAGGCACAGCCCAGGAGCTGGTGTCCTTCAGTGTTAGATTGTTTCCTCCTCAGCTTGTGTGTTTTGAGACCCTGTTTTACCTGAAGTTGTAGAGTACCATGACCAACTGCACTATATCCTGTTTCCTTTGTGTCGTTTCTCACTTGCTATCTCACTATTTTTAGCCATTCTGCAAGAGCCCTGGTAAGGGGCTCTCTATGTACATCATACCTCTTGCAGAGGGACTTTACCTTCTCCTCCTCCCTCCAGTTACTGATGTACCAAATGCTGGTTTTAGCTGCCCTCCTGGGTGTTGCAGAACATCCTGCCGTGGAGTTGCTCAGTGGTTATTAGTGGCTCAGCCCCAGGTAGAACGCTGTTTTGCAAACATTGGCTTCATGCTGCTGCTGCTGTGCACTTTTGAGGGCTTTTGTCAGGGCCCAGGCTCTAGCTGTGCTTTCCTCTCCATCTCCTGGTCAGAGCAAGCAACAACACTCACCTTGAAAAGTTCATTGGTTTTTGGAGGTTTTTTTTTGAATGATCGACTGTATCACATTCAAAACAAAACATTTTACACTCAGGGATATTCATTGCTGCTTTCTGGTATTGATGTGGTACGTTTGGGTTAATTTATAAGTGGAGTGTTTGTAATTTCTGAACTGGGGCATTTCCTTTTGAGAGTGAAGAGGAAGGCATTTGCTGAAGCTATTACTGGATTTATAAATTATCAAATAAACACTTTGCCTGCATCAGAAATGGTTTTGGGCTAGATCATTAGAGGATCATCTGAGCAAAAATGTAGAGGCAGGGACAGAACAAGACCATTCCCACCAGGTTTTACATCCTAAAACTCAGAACTGTGGCCCATGTGAGCCACCAGTACCCCTGAATTGTGTCACATGATGGCATTTGGACGCTATGCCCAAAAAAAGCTTCAGTATGCTAAAAAGGGCAATCTCAAACTGATGAGATAATATAGTTACATTTCTAGATTATTATTATGAGCAAAGCAAAAGAATGTTGTGGGATCTCAGCCATGCTACGCTAGGATCTTGCATAAGCTGGTACTTTGCTTGGAAATTTTGGTATTTTGCTTGTATATCATTATTTGAGCTTTTTTTTCATGCCACTGCACTGTTTTAAGACAGATACGCATTGTATGAAGGCAGGAGCTCTGCTGATAAACCTGGTTAAGGATGTGGGGTTCAGAAGTGTTCTCACATAGCTTTGTCTGGTATTCTGAATGTCTCCGTAATAAAATCATTGTATGGTATGAGAAATAGCAAGACTGGGGAGGAAACACACGACGCTGTGTTCCTTCTTTACCTTCTTTACATTTGCTCCCACAGACATGAGCCATAGGCAATATGAATATCTAGTGTTTGGCAATAATATACAGAATAGAAAGTAGAGTCTTTTTGGGGGAAACAACAAGCAGGCTTCGATGTTGGTATTTTACCAGCTCTGACCACAGTAACGTGCCGTTTCCAGTCTCCCTGCGGTCTGCCCACACAGAACCAAGACTGCAGTTTGGTCCAGGAGAAAAACAAACACCACCTTCCACTGAAATGCACACTTCTGATCTTCAGGTTTTAGATGTGGGTCTACTGGATGCTCTTTTTTATCCAACCCTTTGATAAAATTAGGCGTGGTCAGAAGGTCCCGTGCCATTTTAATTTGTTCCTGTCACCTATGTAGGTGTCACATTAAAAAGAGAGACTTAATTAGTGGGTAGGGCACTAGCTTGCCAACTGAGCACCTCTACTGACATCACCACGACTGCAGATGTACTGTTAAAACGGGCCAGTGGGTTTCTCTGCTGCCTTCCCTCCTGTCTCTGGCTGGCTGTTTCGGGAGTAGTGTGCTGGAGGACACGTGCCTGGTAAGGGTAGCTACTGTAGGGTAACTCCAAGCTGGCAAGTCTGCTGCCAGCAGCGGTGAGCTGCCTGGGACGCCGAGGCAGAAATACCTACGAGTGCTTGCTCTGTTTCATGTGCCACGGTTTGGCATGGAAATGTGGGAATCTGTCTCCTGGAGTGGTGATGGGCATCATCTCTGGCCAGAGTGGTTTTTCTGTTACTAGATTCACCACACATTTCAATTAAATTACATTACTGCATTAACTCCCTAAAAATATTAGCACTGCTCCTGAAGTAATTCGTGAAAGAGTTATTCTTCTGGTTTTTTTCAATACATTTATTGAAATGGTTATTCACACCACTGAGGGGGACAGGAGAGAGGCCTGCTCTGTAGTTTTCAAACCGATTTGGAACCAAATAAAGGTCATTTGTAGATTTATTTGGGAGCGCTCTTCTAAGTATACGTGTAGCTGCCAGTGGTTGTGGGTTGTCCTGAGCTACGTGCACCTGAACTCCTGTGAAATAAAGCAGATTTTAAGAGAACTTGATTTCCAGGACTAAAGTAGAATAGAGGGGGGGGTTCCCTAGGTTTACACTCTTAGACCAGCTCTCACCAGTAACTGCTTTCACTGTCCTTGCACTCTCACAGCCCGGAAGGCCAGCCATATCCTGGGCTGCATCAAAAGGGAAAGAGAGTCCAACGTAGGGCAACAAAGATGATTAAGGGATTGGAGCACCTTCCTTACGAGGAAAGGCTCAAAGGGCTGGGGCTCTTTAGCCTCGAGAAGAGAAGGTTGAGGGGAGACCTTATCTACGTTTACAAGTTCCTAAAGGGTGGGTTGAAGGATGATGGAGCCGGACTCTTTTCAGTGGTTTCCAGCGATGGGATGAGGGGCAATGCGCACAAGCTGGAACATGGAAAGTTCCATTCAAATACAAGGAAAAACTTCTTTATGGTGAGGGTGACAGAGCCCTGGAACAGGCTGCCCAGGAAGGTTGTGGAGTCCCCTTCTCTGGAGATTTTCAAGACCCACCTGGATGCAGTCCTGAGTGATGTGCTTTGGCCAATCCTGCTTTAGCAGGAGAGTTGGACTAGATGATCTCTAGAGGTCCCTTCCAACTCAAACAATTCCATGACTCCATGAAAAGCAGCACGGCCGGCAGATTGAGGGAGGTGATTCTACCCCTCTGCTCCGCTCTGGTGGGACCCCACCTGGAGTACTGCATCCAGCTTTGGAGACCTCAGCACAAGAAGGACGTGGAACCTGCTGGAGCGGGTCCAGAGGAGGAGATGCTCAGAGGGCTGGAGCACCTCTCCTATGAAGACAGGCTGAGAGAGGTGGGGTTGTTCAGCCTGGAGAAGACAAGGCTCCAGGGAGACATTATAGTGGCTTTGCAGTACCTGAAGGAGCCTACAGGAGAGACGGGGAGGGACTTTTTAGAAGGGCGTGTAGTGATAGGACAAGGGTTAACGGCTTCACACTGGGGCAGAGTAGATTTAGATATTGGGAAGAAACTCTTTCCTGTGAGGGTGGTGAGACACTGGAACAGGTTGCCCAGAGAAGCTGTGGCTGCCCCATCCCTGGAGGTGTTCAAGCCCAGGTTGGACGGGGCTTTGAGCAACCTGGCCTGGTGGGAGGCGTCCCTGCCCATGGGAGGGAGTCAGAACTAGGTGATGTTTAAATCCCTTCCCTCCTAAACCATCCCGTGACTCCGTTGAGCGGACCAGCGGGGTCTCGGGGGCGGAGCAGAGAGCAGCTTCCGTCCCGCCCCGCCGCCTCCCGCCCCGCCGCCCGCCGGGATGCTGCTGCCGCGGGGGCCGCCGCCGCCGCTCTCGGCCCTCTCCCAGGTGCTGCGGCTGGAGCGGAGCCGTCGCATCGGCCTGGTCTTCCCGCTGCAGAAGCTGGCGCGGCACCTGGCTCCCGGCGTGGACACGGAGCGGTTCCGGCTCTTCCAGCCCGGGCTGGCCGCCCTGCAGCAGGCCGAGGCGCTCTTCAGGGCCGGCCGCCATCACGCCGTGCAGTACGTCAGCTCCGCCGTCCGCATGGACCATGTCCCGCCGCCCGCCCTGCCCGAGGTCAGCCGTCCGGGGTCACCGCGGAAACCGCAACGGCGTCGTCGCCGTCCCCGGGGGTGACAAATGAGCGGGAGGGAGCACCCCCCGCGCCTGGAGGCGATGGATGAGGGGTGGCTGTGGAAACACTAACTGCTGTCGCTGCCTCCCCTGCCGCAGGTGTGCTTCATCGGCCGCAGCAACGTGGGCAAGTCATCGCTAATCCGGGCCTTGTTCTCCCTGTCTCCAGAAGTGGAGGTCAGAGTGTCAAAAACTCCGGTAAGTGGCGGTTTTAAACTTCAGGAGCCGGTGCCGGCCTGTATCGGGCGGGAGGAAACTTGGGTGACTTGAAGCGTGAGGAGAAGGTGTCAGCCCTGGTGGCCACCAGCGCAGGGCTCTCTCCAGCAATGGGAAAGGTGGTACAGCTTGGCTCTTCAGCCGGGGCCGGCACACACCAGACACAAGTCACAGGAGCTGAGCAGACCTTTGGGAAGAACCAAACACAGAGACCCATGGAGGTATTTTTAGTCTGTTGTAAAAATAGAGTCATATGGGATCTCTACATGGGTAGGAGACTCAGCAGCTTAAAGCAACAGTAGCATTTTTGCAGCCTTCTTGGGGGAAATTGGGGGTGGCGGGGTACAGTACAAAGATGTTTTGCAAGGCATCTCCTAGTCCCTGCTTAAAGCAACTTTCTGAACCCACCCCCTTCTTTGTTCTTACCCAAATCCTCTCTCCAGGGCCACACCAAGAAGATGAACTTCTTCAAAGTGGGGAAGTACTTTACTCTGGTGGATATGCCAGGATACGGCTACCGTGCCCCACAAGACTTTGTAGAGATGGTGGAGGCTTATCTGCAGGAACGGAGCAAGTAAGAATTAACTGTACCTCCACAGAGCGGTGAAAGCCAGACACCTATCTAAAGTGTAATTAGGTGAAAAAGTGCTGGAGGGGTAGCTGCTTCCCGTCGTAGTATTGATTAGTTCTGATGTCATTTCCCTGGGAACCTCTGTAGTGTCACTCACTCATGCTTAGACCGATCAAAACAGCAGAAAAGCTTGAGATGCCCCTCCGTGCTGACCCTCAGCCCCCATGCATGGTGTCTCTTGGCTCTTCCTTTCCCCAGGTTCAGTGTTACTTGTTCTTCCTTATGAATTTGGAAGTAGCAGAGCAGGCATGAAATAATGGCGCTGATTGCTGTCCCTTATGTTTCTGGCAGCTTGAAGAGGACTTTTCTATTAGTTGATGGTGTAGTAGGACTCCAGAAAACAGATCATATTGCAGTAGAGATGCTGGAAGAGTTTGGGATTCCTTATGTGGTAGGTAATGTGTTATCCTTGTGTTGGTTGTAAGCTACAGATAATCTATAAAGGTGTATGCCCTTTACCTGAGCTTATACAAGTTGTGCTACTGAAGTAGTAGCCATTCCTCCCCTTCATAGTTAATAAAATAGGCCTAAAATGTGTTGAGGGGGGCAAGTGGGATTTAAGGGATTTTTGCTAGATTTATTACACGGACATTTCTTTTTCAGTGCTCAACTTGAGGAGCTTGAAAAGGTCAACTCCTTATGCAGGCTATAAAAGTGTTTTGGTGAACTGTATTATACTATTTTTCCCCTTACGTATGACCCAGAGCTTTCAGCCTGCCTTGCAAGATGATCCAGGACTCTTACAGATGGCCCACGCTAGCAACAAAATATCCTTTTACTCTTTTAATCCTCCTTTTCTGGATCCATGCAGATGGTGTTAACAAAAATTGACCGAGCTTCCAGGGGACTATTGTTAAAGAACGTACTGGAGATCCAGGAGTTTGTAAAGGAGAAAACTCAGGGATGCTTTCCTCAGCTATTCCTGGTCAGGTAAAGCTCTTCTCCATTGCTGACATTTCCTTCCAGGTGATGGCTTGCAGTAGGGCCACCTACCCGAAATGGGTCTGTCTGCTGCAGAGGTGGCACTTCCCTGTGCCCCAGGGATGGAGGGTGGGCTGCTGAGGAGGAAACGCCCCTTTCCTTCTTCCCTCACCTCTGCAAGTGAGCAGAGTCCAGTAGTGCACTGCGGGAAATGAAATTTAAAAATTTAAAAGAGCCAGTGGCTGAGATTGCTGTGCCTTGGAGCAATGCAAGCAGCATCTGGCACTGAACATCCACGCCTTTGTTTCCACAGTTCGCTGGAGTTTTCGGGGGTTCACTTGCTCAGGTGTTTTATAGCCCATGTTACTGGAAACCTGCCTACTGTAGAGGCCAGCTGAAAAGACAGGCTCCTGGTCTGCTTGGCTCATCCAGAACAAAAGGTACCAAAACCAGAAGTTTGGATTTTTGTTGTAAATAACCTGAGGTACTAGAATTTATTTTTGGGTAAACTTGTATAAATTTTTGGATAAATTAGTAGTTGTAAGGCTAAGCTTTTTGTTTAATAAATTCATCAATTCAGGAGGTTTGCACTATGAATGAATGCACAAAATTGTTTTATAAGACCTACATGATTGTGCTAAGGAATAAAAAGCAAAGAGAATCTTCAAAGAGAAGCTGAGTTTAAAACAGCATTTCCCCTCCCTCTGGCTAAATGTTCTACTACTGCATGCCTAAGTTCTGCCATGTTTACGATACTGGAGATGGTCTTATTTTAAAAAAGGCATTTAGTTTAGAAAAGAAAAACTATAGCCCTAACATTAAGCAAACTGTACGTGCCCAGTTGAATCAGTGATCCACAGAGGTTTCCTTCTCTTAGCTTATGTAGCTGGGGCCATAAACTAGCATCTCTGCAACCTGCCTGCTCTGAGGCCATCTAGAGAAATAGCCAACGTGTTTTCTGTGAAGGTGTGCTTGGGACTTTGTTCTATTTTACTTTTCTAACTCCTCTGCATGATGCATTCAATAGGTGCAGTGTGACAGCACGCCCCACCTGCATATGGCAGGTTCTCCCTGTTCCAGGTGGATGAAGGAAAGGACACATCTTTAATGGGAGCTGCGTTTTGATCACTGTTGGCTTGAAACACAGAAGAAGAAATGACTGACACCGAGGGGAACTCTCTCCTGCACTTTAGCATCCATCAGTTCTGCATCTACCTTCTGATTTAAATCCAGCATGAAGTTCTGCTGCTGCACTCGGAGAAATTCACAGAGATGAGACATACTGTCCATTATCTGCATCTGTCCTACCCTGGCAGCTGAACCACAGTACTGATGTCCTGTACGCATTAGGGGTGTTGCAACAGCTGGCAGAACTGTGTCCCACAGCAGCTAAGAGTACCTGAAGTTGGCTCATTACAAGGCACAGAATTGGAAAAAAAAAAAGGACTGCCATCAATAACAGTAGTTGTTACAAAATAATTTACAGTAAAGCTATTAAGTGCCTGTCAAACTGGCACTCGGTCTCGTCATGTTTCAGCATTGCCAAATGTGTGTATGCGGTTGCCAAGGTCACTTACATTAAGTGTTTAAACCTCAAGAAAGGGCAGCTCTTTTGTTAACCTCTCTGAGGTATTGCTAGTGTTTTGTTTCATTATGGAATTTTTTCTAAGATGACATACGAGTATGTTTTCAGCATACGTGTAGGAAGTGGGGTGGGGAACGCAGTAGAAAGATGTGGATCTCTAGATATAAAACCTGTAATTCTCTAATATTTTACCTCTAATCCCAAAGTGCTCCAGAGCAAACCAGCTCACAGGAAGCTTGATCCTGGGGGGAAGTGCAGTAGTATCTAGACAGATGGAACAGGAGCAAGTGAACACTTCAGGAATAATCTTTTCTTAGTATCTTAAAACCAGGATCTTCCAAAAGCATCAGTCTTGCCAAGGGTGACATTTTCAAGGCCTCAGCCTTGACTGAAGAGCCTCTGAAAGTAAGTCTGTATATGTAAAAGGAAGTCCAGTTCTGTTTTCAGTCCCTCTTCAGAGCAAACACTTTACAGTGCTAAGAAGTCTTTTATTAACCACTTTAACACATTAAGTATGTTTGGTAAATCCATTTGTTTGAAATGGCAGCAGACTGAACCGGACCCCGTGATCCTTGTGGGTGTGCACTGTTGCCATGAGGTGTCCTTAGCAGAAGCCACATGGAGCTAGGTCTTACAGCTTCTTACAGCTGTACTAGAAACACTAGAAGGGTACAGTCTTGTAGAACGAGCTTAACCTCTGGACACATCTGGGTTTTCTTCTGTATCAGTCAAAAGATCTTTATTAACAAATGCTTCAAATACTGGAATAACTTGAATTTTCCTCAGCCATCTGCAGGAGGGAACACCACAGTTTTGTTACACGCAGGAGTCAGTGCCCTTGGGTTGTGGTTTAGGCTGGGCTGGCCACTAAAAGATGACAGAGGCTCTCTTTTAAGATAGAAAAAAAACAATTTTCAGTAATTTTACTTTTCAGTTAAGTCTCTTCTCACTGCACCCTGAAATTAATGGTATGCTTTTCAGACAGTGGCTGCTTCTAGAAGTGGTAAGGTCTGATGTTTATAGGTAAAAGAGACTTAAGTGAAAACTAAAATTACTGAAAGGAAAATTCCTTTTTGTTCCTACCTCAAACCAGGACAGGCAAGTAAGGTAGTAAATAACATCAAGTCTTCTCCTTCATTTGAAGATTAAAACTTAAATATAAGTGCCTTCATGGGAGCATGCTTTGGGTAGACAGGTGCCTGATGCACCAGCAGACTTTCTTGCCAAATTCCTCAGGAAGGTGCTGTGTTGCTGAGTGTGGAACCGCGCTTTCTCCTGCCAGGGCCACAAAAGCTCTCCCTTTCTTTTTCCCCACTCATCGGTCAGGGGTGGGCCTGGCAGTGTACTGAAGTAATAGGCACCATTTCAGTTTTAAACACTTTTGATGTCTTAAAGTGTTTGCAGCGTATACACCGCTCTGCAGGCACCGAGCACTATCTTGGAATGCAGCTGTGCAACCCCAGCAGCTGTAGTCTCATCTGGTGCCAGCTCAAGCTGGTACTATGAGCTCCTGGTGAGACAGGACCTAATTATATTTTTTTTTAATGGTCTAAGAGATAATAAAGTCCTAAGTGTTTAGAATTCACATGGGTTACACAGACATTTACTTCCACAAATCCTTTTTCTGGCAGGGTCATCTTCAGTTTCTCCTGACCAGACCCAGGCATCAGCAAAAGTTTTTGTTTTCTTTCCCAAGTCAGGCATGATTTGAAAAGGAAACTCCAGAGTTCATTTGAGATCCTTTTTCCATAAAACCCTGTCATGAAGCTCACTGACTTCTGTGTGACACCCTAGTACTATTTTTCCTAAAATTAAAGTCAGAAATTGAAACCAGTTTCGAGCTTTGATACAGCACACCCACTGTTTTTTGTGTCTGCAGAATAGGCAGATTTATACTCGATGCATGAGAAGTGCACAGGAACTCGGGTTCCAGTCAGAGCTCTGTGCTGTACAGCGTTACACAGACACTAGTGATAGCGACTGATTCCAGGTAAACGATCCACACGCCGCCTTCTCCTTGCAGTCCCCAAACCGTGGGCCAAGGCAAGACCCAACAACCCCCCCACCCCGAGCTGCGGAGCCGGGTCACCTTCCCCCAGGCCGGGCCGGACGGGGCTGTGAGCCGCCTGCTCTGGTGGGAGGCGTCCCTGCCCAGGGAACTGGGTGATCCCTGAGGTCCCTTCGGGCTCTGACCATTCTGTGTCTCCGCGCCCCTGTCCCCGCGGTGCATCAGACCATTCCTCAGGCGGGGTCTGTGTGCGCCGGGCAGGGAAGGGGGCAGCCACCGACCCCCGCACCTGCCAACCAGGATGACGCCTCGCAGTTTTTCCCCTGGAGAAGACACGCTATTACAGACCTACTGACACCAAAGCAGCTGCACAGGACGGCGGCCCCGCTTCGTCCCGGGGAGCGGAGCCGGCGACGGGCAGGGCACGGGGAGGGCCCAGCCGCGGCAGGAGGCGGTGTGAGGAAGCGGAAGCTCCTCCTGGCGGCCCGGAAGCGCCCGGCGGGCGGCGGCGGCCATGGCTGACGAGGAGGAGGACGTGCCGGTGAGTCGGGAGAGCTGGCGGGGATGCTCCGGCCCCGGCGGCACACCGGGGCGGGCGGGGGGAAGGGTTCCGCGGGCGCTGACGGCGGCCTCTCTCTGCTGTGCCCCTGCAGTTCGAAGAAGACGCGGAGGAGGCCGGCGGGGGCCTGGACGGCGGGCAGGGCAAGAGGAAGAGGCTCTTCTCCAAAGAACGTGAGTCGAGGTGGGGCAGGACAGGAGCCCCTGCCCGGCGGGGGGGAGTCCCCAGGGCTGGGGGCGCTCCCTGCGGCTCTGAGGGACGATGTCCTTCCCCCAAACGCAGCTGGAACTCTTGAGGGGCAGCTGTGGGGTTTCAAAACTCGGTTTTCCTTAGCAAAACCGCAGCTTTCGTTCAGTCCCCTTGCTGGAAGAGCAGAAACCTGTCGTGTAGACCCCCACCCAAAAAATACTGCTCGTCACAGAATGGTATGGGGTTGGAAGGGATCTCTGGAGATCATCTAGTCCAACCCCCCTGCCAGAGCAGGTCCACCTAGAGCAGGTTGCACAGGAACTTGTCCAGGTGGGTTCTGAATGTCTCCAGAGATGGAGACTCCACCACCTCTCTGGGCAGCCTGTTCCAGTGCTCTGCCATCCTCAAAGAAGTTCCTCCTTACGTTTAGATGGAACTTCTCATGTTCAAGTTTGTGCCCATTTCCTCTTGTCCTGTCCCTGGGCACCGCTGAGAAAAGACTGGCCCCATCCTCTTTATACCCACTCTTTAAGTATTTATGTGTTGATCAGATCTCCCCTCAGCCTTCTATTCTCCAGACTAAAAAGACCCAAGACCCAAGTTCCTCATAAGAGAGAGGCTGCAGGACCCTAATCATCTTTGTAGTTCTGCATCATCTGAACCTAATAGTCATGCTGTCAGTCACTGTTCATTATTTGGTAGGCTAAATCCATATTTAAAAGGGTCTGTCATCAGATGGCACTTTTCCATACGTACAGCACTGGGCTGTTGTTAGCTTCTGTCTGCCTCCTGATCTCCCATGTGTTTGCTCAAGAACTGTCCTGCCCAAGAGAGAAGGTGCCGCCCTGGTGCAGGGCTGTGTGGGGTGGTAAGCTCCAGCGACACGTGTGCTGCTGCTGACAGCGCTGAATGGAGGAAAGAAGCCTCACCCCGAGTGTTTCTTTCTGCAGTAAGATGCATGATGTATGGATTCGGGGACGACCAGAACCCTTACACAGAATCGGTGGACATTCTTGAGGACCTGGTAATAGAGTTTATCACAGAAATGGTAAGTCAGCTCTAGACAGCGTGGTCAGAACACCTTCAGTAAGTCTTTAATCTTCTGAAGGTTAATTAGACTCAAATACTGCATTATCCCAGGCCAAAAACTCTGATGCCAGTAGGAAAAACTGAATTTAGACTTTGCTCTTCGCAGATTAAGGTAAAATTCATGCATCTTGCTCCATGTGAATTGAGAACAGTATCTGAAGTCCTTAAATGGCCGTTAGATTAGTACTGGTGGTGGGGAAGCACCCAGCTGGCTCTGAGGTTCACTGTGGCATCACCACATGTGCAGCTGACAAAAGACAAGGCTCAGCTTTGAGTTTATTGACTTATTCCAGTGCCTTTACACGATGGGAATGTAGCTCTGCCCTACTGAGGCCTGAAGCCATCCCTCTTCCCAACGTTTGGATACTGTTTGAAAGTTTGTTTTGTGTTTTTTGAAAAAAGTTATTCCTACTGTTTGTGGATCCCCTTTCTTTTGAAAGGTTGGCCTCATCAAAATGCCCTAAATTGTCCTGTGATACAGGCGCTTCACATTGCCTCCAAGTTCTGCCTGATGCTGTTCATCTTCCAGCACTCTGCAGGCTGGGGGTCCTCTGTGTCATCTGGCTTTAGTTCTGATGTCATTACTCTTAGCTCTGTGTAGTGGTGTGTGCTGGGTGTCAGTGACAGGCAGCTGGGGACAGCAGAGCGACACTGAGTCTATGGTTTACTGAGAAGTTCTATTGTGACAGGGATGATGGTGTCCAGATTCTGAAATTGCTTACTTTCTGATTATAAAATGACAGGAAATAAAGTAGAATTGAGAGCTTAAGAAAAAAAAAAATATTAAGGGGCAAAGGAAGCCTACTGACTTTTCCCCTTTTCCTCTAACAGACACACAAGGCCATGTCGATCGGGCGGCAGGGTCGCGTACAGGTGGAGGACATTGTCTTTCTGATCCGCAAGGACCCCCGGAAGTTTGCCAGAGTTAAAGACCTCCTGACTATGAATGAAGAACTGAAACGAGCCCGAAAGGCCTTTGATGAAGCAAACTATGGATCTTGATTCTGCGTGCAGGCTGCACTTGGGCATTACTTGGGCACCTGCTGCCCAAAAGGAAGAAACGTCACGTGTGTTGTTTGGAGGTGTTATTCAGGATGGAGGTCACTGCTGGAATGTCTAACCTCACTCCCAGCCTTTTCTGAAAAGTATTCAAGCAGCTGAATGTTACCTGATTGTACATGGTATACTTACATATTTTTATACCATTTTATGAAATAAGAGCTCTAAAGATTCTTGTAATGGCAGGAAGTCTGTCTGAAGTAGGACTATGTTGAATTGAACATCTAGAGGGCTAACGATGGGTGATTCTCTACAACTTTTTAACTTATTACTAGGTATTCCCATGACAGGAAACCTAGAAGAGGTTTAAATCTTAGTTATCTGGGGAAAGCCTTCAAGGCCAAACTACTAGAAAAGTTCTGCTCTTTGCTCTGTATACTCTTTTAGAATAAAACATGTTAAGTTTGTGCCCATTCCTCATAACTAAACTTACATTGACCAATTCACACAAGGTGCCATAACACAGGTTTTTTTAGCACTTAATTGTTTTTCTGTCCTAGTGGGTAAAGCTCTTGTTTTCTACCAATATTAAGCCTAGGAAATTGGAAGTTAACCTATTCCAGATTTACTTGCACTTACAGACTTTCCCTACCACTGCTCTACAATAAAGCAGATTCCTGATCTTCATTCTGAGAGCTTTTTCGTAGTATTTCCTGGTGATCCTGATCTTGGGACTTAGTTACAAGCAAGAGCCTAGCAGAAAGCACTAACCACACGGCTTGTTCTAACGTTATTCCATTAATAGGTGTTGGGGTAGCTGTGCCTTACGGTGCCAAGCAGGCAGAAATTGCACTTACAGGGTGGTGAGACACTGGAACAGGTTGCCCAGAGAAGCTGTGGACGCCCCATCCCTGGAGGTGTTCAAGGCCAGGCTGGATGGGGCTTTGAGCAACCTGGTCTAGTGGGAGGTGTCCCTGCCCATGGCAGGGGGGTTGGAACTAGATGATCTTTAAGGTCCCTTCCCACCCAAACCATTCTATGGTTAAAAAGATTTCAGGCCCATGAGAACAAGTTCACCCAACAGAGAAGGGACACTGAGTAAGGGTAGCCCATAGTCAACACTCCTGGACAAGGTTAGGTGAAAGGATGAAGATTATTCAGCTGTTTGGAACAATTTTCCATTAAAAAAAAAATCTGGTTTACAAAAATATAATAATTGCTACTTTCGTATCAGAATTCAGGCTGTGAATTACCCAGACACCATTAGGCGTTTCAGAGATTTACTTAAGAAAAAATAAATTGGAATGACTTAACGTCTTTCCTCCTTGCAAGTCCAGGGTCAGACACCCATTGCTGCAAAAATAGAATCAATATCCACGTTCTCAGTAGCTTCTTTCCACACGGGGCCAGGGCTTCCTTCTCGCAGCAGCTGCTTAGGGGTCCCAGCTGTGCTTAGTTTGACAGAGGCTGTATCAGCACTGGAATGTCCTTCCTGTCTTGGAGGCCCATCCTGGTAAGCAGAGAGGACGAGTGATGCCCTGCTCTCACAGATGCCAAAAAGCTCAGCAGGATTTTGCCGCAGAGTTCTCTTCAGGCGTGTGGATGATTTGATCCTCCTTCGACAGAACCGTGCCCCGAGGCACTGCTTTGGCCAGCGCACATTTTGTGACCCATACAGGAGGTATTTACGGACAGAGGTTTTGACACAGCACAGTTTTTTCTTCAAGCTTAAGGGGAGGAAGGTGCACAAAACACAACTTTATCAGCTGCTAAAGTGTTACTTCATTCGGTGTTTGGAGAGATTTGGTTATTAGCCTTCTCTACCGTTTTCCTTGTCATACCAAGGAAATACTCCAGCACCTCATACACAGTAGCCAGGCCATTCTGAAGACAGACAACATCCCTTGCATCATATAATCATTAGCATTAAACACGCACATGATTTAAGGTGCGTTTTCATCATCCTCCTAACATGTTTGTGCATTTGTTAGCTTTTTAAGAACTTTCACAAATGTCTGAAGCTAAACACAATGTTCATGTCAGTGACCCGAACTAGTGATCCTGTTTGAATTTAAGTGGGGGTTAGACCACTGGGTTTCTCTACACTAGCAAAATACTTAATATTAAAATGTAAAGTGTCAGATCCACAAACCCCACACCCGTGCCAAATTACCTGCATCCTTGAGCCTCCACATGGTGCAGCCGGTTGCTTTTCAACAACTTGTTTCGCAGAAAATAAGCTGCTGATTTAAATCTGTTGCCTTTGCACCACAGAATAGCTTTTCTGAGTGCCTCTGACAGTTCCCCAAATGACGTAGCCGCTTGGACCATCTGTACAAGAGCTCCAGCATGCTGTGATTTTGCTAGGCGAGAGGAAAGTGATGCTGATTTTGCTTTAATGGGTGTTGATGAAATGCTTATACCCTGAAACAAAGAGTAACACAAATAGTTAGTCTTTTAAAAATGTGACACGCTCGATCCTCTGCTGAAGGATCAGAGCACTGAGGTTTTTGTAAGAACAGTCCTTATTCCCTAAGGAGAAAGTGGAAGAGCAGTCTTATTTTATGGAATACAAAAAGAGGCGGAAGATAATTAGAATTTGTATTCCTGTCTACTACTGACCTGCTCTCTGGTTATTTCACTTGACATACCAACTAAGGCTCAAATTTGTAAGCAGAAATTAGTTGTGATTTTCAGTGCAAAGCTTCCACGCGAGCTTGGATTGTCAGACAAGCAAAAATAAGGCAGGGAAAGGGGACATTTTCCATTGGGGATATCGTGTTTTGAGTGTTAGGGTCTTTAAAGTTAAAAAAAATATATATGTGTGTAAAACAGTGCCATACAAACCTGTTGTGCTGGAGGCCTGGATGGTCTAAGCAAGCTCTTCACATCAAACCCCAGGTGCTTCCCTATAAAGAGAGAGTTCCTGTTATGAAATAAAGAGTTTTCAGTCTTCGCACAGAGACACCGCGATGCTTTGCCCTGCTGAGCTCTGAGATCTCCTGCCACCTCAGCAGGATCACACCTGTACTCAGCATTTACAGGCAAACTCAATGGGGCTACACTCATCTCCCACTGCACTGACACAGGATGAAGAGGATGCAGAGATTTACAGATGGCTGCAAAGGAGAACTTCATGGATAAAAGCTTCACAGAAACACCTGGATGCCTGCAGTCACTGATCATAGTCCTGACTGCAGGGGAAGGTGGGCATGGCCCAGAACCAGCAAGCACAGGATACTTGCACCCTTTATTTACAACCTTATCTACTATTGTACAGACTGTGCTCTTTGCTTCCCTCACTATCCTTGGGCCCCATCTATACAGAGGCAGAAAATACAAATGACTATTTACAGGACTTGTATACTGCATTCCTTACCTGCTCCTCTTCAGGCTGTATCATGTTTAAAAAAAAAAAACAGAACAAAAAGCCTCACAATACTGAAATTATCCACAACTTTATAAAGGCAAGGGTATGTGCAGCATTCGCCTCCTCTCCCTAGGCCAGGAGAGGGGAGTTTGTACTAGCACCACACTCTGTGGGTAGCAGAAGTGCTTTTCTCTGTTGGATAGAAGTTGCAGTCAGTCTCTGAGACGTCAGAAACCAGTAGCCCTGTGGCTTTACCTCTGCTGGCTCTGGTCACCAGAACTGGTTCTCCAATGTCTGCAGGGCATGGGACGCTACAGTTTTTCACAGCACTCCTGCAGGTCGCAAAATGTCTCTTTTTCTCCACCACTGACGCTGCCTCTGGCATTGCTGGGAAGAGCTGCTTCAGCCAGCTGGTAGGTTTTTTTGTTGTAAGCATTCTAGCCTTTTGCTTCTTCACCTCAGAAGAAACATTCACTCCAAGGAAGTTACTGATATCAGAAGGGAAGGCAAACCCCTTGATATAAGGCATCTGTTGGGTCTCAGATACCAGATGAAGCGATGTTGACAGTATGCCATACAAGGAAATGAGGCTCTGCAACACACATCCATACTGAATCCTGGAGAGAGAAGACAGAAAGGTATGTGGAGTCTCCTCTAGCAACACCTTGTGCTCACTGAGTAACTACCTTCAGCTCAAGCAGAAGAGCTGACAGAAGAGATTCCAAACTGCCCTTTCCCTATTTCCCCTCAAAACAAGCTTATCTTTTTACAGTCCATCACCGTGCTTTCCTTAATATTATTCTGAGCTTTAAGGAACTGTTCAAGATCAGAGTGCAGGAGTGACTTGACTAGTAAATCCTTGATCAGGAGGCCCTCCGCTTCCCTAGGGCTTTGTGGAGTGCCACACCTGGGACTCACCAGGTTCCCAAGTCACATCCAAATCATTTGTCAAAGAGGTCTTCCCCCACAGGCAACCTGAACCAACTCAGGACAACGGTACTAGCGCTGATGCCACATAGTCACCTGCTCTGCATTTACTGGGGAGACAGATTCCTTGTGCCAAAGAACATTTTACTGAGTTCTACACAATGCTGTTAATCCTTCAGCTACAGACAGCAGTTACTTTCTCAGTGTGGCTCTGCTGTACCAAGAGACTACAACAATGATTTTCCTGGAAAACTCAGGAGTATTACAGAACAACTTTATCCCAGCCTTTCAGCATGAAGTAGGACTTACTGCTTGCTGCAAAAAGTACCAGATGTTTGGGGCAGGCTGGCATTAACACTCTGATTTTATTAGTGCTACATAAAGTTTGCTATGAACTGAGAACAAAGCCTTCCAAACTAGCATGTGAGAAGTCTCTCTCCACTTACACAACTCTGCAGGTGCTAGAATCAAGTCCAAAAGGATGGAGGGACCCACCTCCTCCTCCTCCTCCCAACTGAACAAAGCTCACTCAGCAACAAGGCCTAATTACAAACCCGTCTCCCTGACAGGCACATCAAACTGACAACAAACAAGACAGACTTTGGAATACACAAACCATAGCCGGCTCAACAACCCCGAAGCCACAGTGTTCAAAAGTATGAATTCTTCTGAGCAGAGATGTTGAACGGACAAGCTGAAAATTAGACCAGTTAAGGATAAAAAATAAACACCAAGTAATGAGACTTGCTGAACACACCAGCTAAAGGCAATTCGCAAGGGTATATTCTGGATAATTTTGGAGATGAGCATCCAAACTTCATATTGCTCATGGCCAGAACAGCAGCTGGCCAACAGCCTGAGGTTCCTACATAATAACTTTAAAGTAAGATGTTTGGCTATCAAAGAAACTCCAAGTTGCACATATGAATTGCACAGTTGAGTCCATCAGCAATACAGGGCCTACAGCAGACCTAGTTTTGGTCTCATGAGGTGCTGCTGGTGAACTGTAAGAATGTCTTCATGGTGACGAAAGGATACAGAAAAGCTTTACAGCAACAGTCCAGTAGACGCAGTATGAGCTTGCAACCTCCCAACACCTTCAGAGCCACTGTTTCCAGCATAGGCTGGCTGGGAGCTAAGCACTCTGCATGGGCTTGGGGTGCATTGTTCCTGTGTTGGTACAAGGATGAGGAGATGGTTATTATCTAGCGTTCCCTGCCTTTAGCTCTGCAGACTGAGTTAATGGATACATCCTGTATAACATATGGGATCTCAACACTTACTTGGGAATCAGTCCTGCCAGAGTTTCAATGCAGCCCACCAAGTTCGTTTTCCATAGGCGCTTCAAGCATTGTTCTACCTTGGGAGAAAAAAAGAAAGCTCGTTTTGA